GCGGTGCGGCAGACCGAGGCGCCCCTTGTGATACCGGCATCCGAGTCCAAGTCCCAGCCGCTCTGCTTCTGATTCAGCTCTCTGCCTGGGACAGCAGTGGGTGATGGCCCAAGTGGGTCCTGGTCCGGGTGAGCTGGATGGGGTTCCTGGCTCCTGGCTTCAGCTGTTCGAGACGGTTGGGAAGTGAGCTGACAGGTGACAGCTCTCTGTGGGTCTGTCTGTCTCTCAAGTATATAAATTATATGGAAGGGTGTGCGTGCGAATCCCACACCACGTTCTGTAAGGGACTGGAGAATCTGCAGGCTTTAGTACCTGCTGGGGGTGGGGGGAGTAGCAGCCTGGGCCTGTGCATGCGGCAGACGCAGCCCTGGGCCCAGCACCTCCTTGGGTCATCTCGTTGAGTTCTCGCGACAGTCTTCTGTGGCAGTAACTGGCATTAGTATTATTATTTTTATTTGACAGGTAGAGTTAGACAGTGAGAGAGAGACAGAGAGAAAGGTCTTCCTTCTGTTGGTTCATTCTCCAAATGGCCTCTACGGCCGGCGCACTGCACAGATCCGAAGCCAGGAGCCAGGTGCTTCTCCTGGTCTCCCATGGGGTGCAGGGCCCAAGCACTTGGGCCATCCTCCACTGCACTCCTGGGCCACAGCAGAGAGCTGGACTGGAAGAGGGGCAACTGGCACAGAACCCAGCACCCAATTGGGATGCCGGTGTCGCAGGCGGAGGATTTAACCAAGTGCGCCATGGCGCCGGCCTGGCATTATTTTTTATTTCAGAGTTGAGAGAACGGAAGCTCAGAGAGGCACAGAGACTTTCCCAAGGTCAGGGAGTGAGGGCGAGGTGTGTGTCCACCAGCAGTTACAGAACCTGCCTCTCTGCAGGCTGGAACGGTCACAGAGGGAGGGCAAGGTGGCCAGGAGCTGTGGGGACAGCTGGCAGGACTGGTGACCCGCGGAACGTGGGGAGGGGCCGGGGAGAGCCCCGCCTCCCTCTGTCCTGCCTGTAGCTGCTGTCCTGTGTGCGCTCACCCCTGCTGCTCTGCCCCACCCGCCGGCAGCAGGCGGGGGGCCGACCGTGGCAGCGATGGGTACAAACCCCAGCCCACTGTTCCATGGAGCTGGTTCCCCTCTGCCTCAGCTCCCATTCTGTTCCCGTTGCCGGGGACTTGGAGTCCCTGTGGCTTCCCCCGCTGAGACCCCTCAGGCGCCCCATGCTGTCCGTCCGCACAGCGTGTCCCATCCTGGCCTGCTGCGTCCCCAGGGGACCTCTGCCTCCTTGGCCCTTCCCCTCAGGCCGGGGGTGGCTTCTCTGATCTCTCCTCTGTCCCACGAGGACACAGGCACTTCTGCCGGGCCTTCCAAAGCCGCAACAAGCTGTCCCCTCCCCTGGGTCTTGCTGCTTCCCTCGGGAATGGGAGCAGCCACTCACCAAGCCCCAGCCATAGCCACCTTTCTGGGATCCATTGTCCCACCCAGGACGGCAGGTACCTGCCATCCCAGCTCAGCCCTCTGACATCTCTCTTCCCCTCACCCCACCCCCTCCTTCCTCTGTGCCCTGCTTTGCTTTGTTTTAACGATCTATTTAAAGAGAGGGAGAGAAGGAAAGACACAGAGAGAGATCATCCAATCACTAGTTCACTCCGCAAATGGCCGCAATAGTTGGGGCTGGGCCAGGCTGAAGCCAGGAGCCAGGAGCTTCTTACAGGTCTCCCTCATGGGTACAGGGGCCCAAGGACTTGGGTCATCTACTGCTTTCCCAGGCCACAGCAGAGAGCTGGATTGGAAGTGGAGCAGCCAGGACTCGAACCATGTGGCAGCTTTACCTGCTACGCCACAGCACCGGCCCTTGCTGTCTCCTTGAAACCAGGTTTGTTTCTTTTATTTCCTATTATCTTATTTTTTTAATTTATTCAAAAGGTAGGAAGAGAGAGAGAGAGAGAAAAATCTCTCATCCGCTGATTCACTCCCCAAATGCCCACAACAGCCAAGACCGGGCCAGGCTGCAGGCAGGAGCCAGGACCTAAATCCAGATGTCCTGCCTGGGGGACAGGGACGCGTGTACTTAGGCCATCACCCAGTGCTTCCCAGGGTGTGCATTAGCAGGCAGCTGCATGAGAAGCGGAGCAGCTGGGACTTGAACCAGGCACTCTGACGTGGGGTGTGGGCGTCCTGGGTAGCAAATACTCACCTGAGCCCAGCGAATCTTTGCAGTGCGTGCACCCAGGGTCCACAAAGCCCTGCCTTTGCAAAGATTCTGTCCAGTCGCCTCCATTTGCTGGGGGCGTGGGCTCAGGTGTAGCCCCATCCCCCGTCTCACCTCCTTTCCCTCAAACTCAGCTCTCTTATCTTTTCCCCAGCCCCGGGGCCACCCTACCCCAGGCCCTGGTCTGGGCGACTGTCAGGGTCCACGTTGCAGGAGCCAGCGTTGCTGTCTCCAGCTCAGGCCGGTCCCTCTACCCCAGCCCAGCTCATCCGGCAAAGAGCTGGGTCCCGACACCGAAGGCGAAAGGCGGGACCATTCATGTGCCCGAACCTGAGCAACGGCCGTGCTGCCCGCTTCCCCCGCCCCCTCCAGGGATGCCCCACCAAGCCCTAAGCTCTGCGGATTTGGGGGCAGCCTCGGGGCCTCGTCTGCGTTCACAGTCGGAGCACGCCGCCTCCTAGCAGCGGGTCTGGGTCCACCTGGTCCGACAGTTCCTGGGGAAGATTCCGATGGGGGCTGATGTCATCATCCCGCGCCAGGCGGGGGAAGGGCAAGAGGAAGCGAGTGGGGACCGAGCTCGTCCCTGCTCCCAGGTTCATCCAAGTTCATGGCATTCACCTGTTCACGCGGGCACAGCCCCACGGCCGAGTCCTGGCCCCTGGATCACCAAAGGTGACAGTCGCAGAGGCGGGGGCCTGGGGTGAGATGGCTGTGGGGACAAGGAAAAGGAGAGAGAGCTCAGCACTTAAAGCAGTGAAGAGAGGGGCCGGCGCTGTGGTGTGCGTAGCCGGTGAAGCCGCCGCCTGCAGTGCCGGCATCCCACATGGGCGATGGTTCGAGTCCCGGCTGCTCCACTTCCAATCCAGCTCTCTGCTGTGGCCTGGGAGAGCAGTGGAGGATGGCCCAAGTCCTTGGGCCCCTGCACCCATGTGGGAGACCCACAGGTGGCTCTAGGATCCTGGCTTCAGATCAGCCCAGCTCTGGTCATCGTGGTCATTAGCAGAGTGAACCAGAGGATAGAAGATCTCTCTCTCTCTCTCTCTCTCTCCCTCAGCCTCTCTGTAACTCTGCCTTTCAAATAAATAAATCTTTTTAAAAAAGTGAAGAGAGAGGGGAGGGCTCTGTGGCATAGCAGATTAAGCCGACGCCTGGACGCCTACGACACCAGCATCCCACGGGCGCGCCGGCACCTGTCCCAGCTGCTCCAACCTGTCCCAGCTGCTCCGCTTCTGATCCAGCTCCCTGCTGATGTGCCTGCCTTTCAAATAAATAGGTAGATCTTCAAAGAGAAGTGGAGAGGGGCAGAGGGAACCAAGCCCCAGGGTTAGGAGGAGGCGAGAACCAGGTCTTCCTGGGGCTGTGGGAACAGAGTGGGAGAGAAAGGAAGTGAGAAAGGGGGAATCAGGCCCCAGCTGAGCCCAGCTCCCTCCAGGAACGACAGCAGACCGGACACAGTCTGTGTCTGTGTCCTTTCAAGTAAAATAAAAACAATAAATAAATGAAGAGTTTCAAGTCCCCGCCCTTTATTCTGTGCTCCGGGTTCACCGTCCGTGAAACGGGTTCTGTTCACAAAGATAGGCGAGGATCTGCTGGACAAGTCTTCCAGCCAACCTTCCAAGTATCGCTTCCCCGGCCATGCCGCCACCACCTGGCCCAGCCCTCTGCCTGCCTCCTCCAAGCTAGGGTGACCTTTTCAAAATGCAAATATGATGCAAATGCATGCCCAGCACCCTTCGAGGGCTTCGTCCCCCACCGCGGCAGCCCACACCCCACCCAGGGCTGCAAGACCTGGCCCCCAACCCCTGGTCCCGCCCCCTCGCCTCCACTGCCTCTGAACCTCACACACGACCTTGAGGCATTTCCAGGGGTCCCTTCCGGTAATCAGAATCATCCCAGCTGTGCCTCCACTGACCCCAGGTGGAGTTTGCCAGCCGCCGGCTCGCCCTGGGCTCCCTGATTGTGCCGGTCAGCTACCTGATGCCTTCACCCAGGAAGGATTTGTTTCTTTATTAGTAAATAAACTTGTGAATGAAGGTCAGGCACCACGCGGCACACAGAGATGGATCAGACCCAGCCTGCTCCCCCCGGCCACCATGAATTAATTAATTTATGAGAGAGGCACTTTCTTTTTAAGATTTATTTTACTTATTGAAAGGCAGAGTCACAGAGAGAGAGAGGTCTTCCATCTGCTGGTTAGCTCCCCAAGCGGCCGCAATGGCCGGAGCTGGGTCTCCCACGTGGGTGCAGGGCCCAAGTCCATAGCAGAGAGCTCGGCCGGAAGTGGAGCAGCCGGGACTCGAACCGGCCCTCACACGGGAGGCCGGCACTGCAGGCGGCGGCTTTACCGGCCCTCATACGGGATGCCGGCACTGCAGGCACTGCAGGCGGCGGCTTTACCGGCTACGCCGCAGCCCCGACCCCAACTAGATGAGAAACAAGGATTTAGTACGGACGCCCCCTCTGAGCAACAGGTGCGGTTCAAGCCGTAGGATTATCACGATGTCCAGCAGACGGCGCTCCAGCGCACCAGGTCGCCTGACGTGCACGAGGGGCCTTAAAACTACCGCACCCACAATGCCTTGCGGCACCGAGGGCCCGCCGTCGTGCTTAGCTGTCCGAGGCAGTGCCTGTATGCGCTCCTGAAAGAATGCGCGTAGCGAAGCCGCTCGGGTCCTTCCCCCTCTCTGCAGCAGGCCAGTGGGGAGGTTCTTTTTTTCCCTTTCTCTTACTCTCCCTGCCTTACCGTTAGGACTGAAACAGGCTGATGCTTGTTGGCCTCCCCTGCCCTAGCCCCTCGTGAGGCCCCTTGACCTCTGGCCCAAGATGGCGGCGCCCAGGGCGTAGCTCTCGCTGAGGTGAACCACAGCCAGACGGCCGGCGGCATGTCGAAACTAAGCCGGGTCTCTCGAAGCCTCAGGAAGCCCGAGGCCGGCGGCGTGATCCGGACCATCGTGCGGGCCGGCCAGGCCATGTCCGGGCCCCCCCTGGGCCCTATCTTGGGTCAGGTGCGCTCCTGGCCGGAGCCCGGCGCGGGGCGCCGGAGGGCCGGGATGGTCGCGGAGCCGCGTGCACGCTTCCAGCCCGCGTGTTGGCCTCCGCAGCAGGCCGTGGGGGGGACACACAAAGAAGTCTGTGGCGCAGAGAGCGGGAGTCGAGTGTGGGTGGAGGAGAGGGGCCGCGTGGGCGCGGCCGGCCCCGCTGACCGCCGTGTTGCTCCCGCAGCGAGGCGTCTCCATCAACCAGTTCTGCAAGGAGTTCAACGAGAAGACCAAGGACATCAAAGAAGGCATCCCCCTGCCCACGAAGATCCTGGTGAAGCCCGACAGGACGTTTGAAATCAAGATCGGCCAGCCCACCGTGTCCTACTTCCTGAAGGCGGCCGCGGGCATCGAGAAGGGAGCGCGGCGGCCAGGTGAGGGCCGGGGCGGGCGCCCGGGAGGAGCCGGCGGCCAGCGCCTGAGCGCGCGTGCCCCTTGCTCCCAGGGCAGGAGGTGGCGGGCCTGGTGACCCTGAAGCACGTGTATGAGATCGCGCTGGTGAAAGCCAAGGACGACGCCTTCGCCCTGCTGGACGTCCCGCTGTCCTCCGTCGTCCGCTCCATCATCGGCTCTGCGCGGTCGCTGGGCATCCGCGTGGTCAAAGAGTGAGTGCGGAGGGGGCCTCTCGGGTTCTGGGGGGGGGGGGGCGGTGCACCTGTTGCGTGTTAGGTGTCGTCCTGGATGTGGGACGCGGCTTAGGCGGGGGCAGCGCTGCTTGGCCCACGTCCGTGTGGCGGCCGCGCGGACCCACGGGTGCGTGTTGGGGCCGGGGTCACCAGAGCAGCCAGGAGGGTTGCTGGCTGGGCGTGGAGTGTCCGTGAGGGGAGGGGCTACATCTGAGCAGAAGCCGGGAAGAGACCGAGGGCTGGGGCAGACGGTCCAAGGACGGAGATCTCCGTGGAGTCGGGAAGGGCGGGGGGCCTGGGTGCAGAGCCCCCGGGCAGGGTGGGAGGGTGTGGACCCGAGGCCGACAGGAGGGAGGCCTGCTCCTCGGCTTCAGGTGAGCTCAGGGAGTTGGGGGTGTCGGGCCCAGGCGGGGGCGGGCCGGGGAGTAGGAGCCCTGCGTGTCCTCTGCCGCCGAGTCAGGCCCCACCCGCGGCTCACGGTCGCTTCCCGGAAGCGCGGGCGCAGCCTGGGGCAGAGGGGGACCGGGCCTTGCTCACGTCTTAGCTTTTGCTGGGACGCAGGGATGAGTAAGCCCGGTCCTCTGGGGGAGACACAGGCACAGCCCCCCCGGCTTCCTGGGGCACAGGGCGAGGCCGGCTAAACTGGACTGGAGCCCGGCTGGGTAGCGATTTAGTGAGAGGATAAAAGGCCGCGGGCGGCTTTTCTGGCCGAGGGAGTGTGGAAGCTGGGGGCCGAGCAGCTGGACTCTGACACGGGGACACGGGCCCCGAGAACTGGGGTGGCAGCTGCTCACCACCCGTCCATCCGTCTGTCTGCCTGTCCACCTTCTGTCCGTCCGTCCATCTGCCCGTCTGTCTGTCTGCCTGTCTGTCTCTGTCCGTCCGTCTGCCTGCCTGCCCATCCGTCTGTCCATCTGTCTGTCTGCCTGCCTGTCCATCCGTCTCCGTCCGTCCGTCTGCCTGTCTGTGCGTCTCTATCTGTCCATCTGTCTGTCTGCCTGCCTGCCCGTCTATCTGTCCGTCCGTCCGTCTGCCTGTCTGTGCGTCTCTGTCTATCTGTCTGCCTGTCTGTCCGTCTGTCCATCTCTCCGTCCGCCCGTCCGTCCGTCCGCCTGCCTGCCCGTCTATCTGTCCGTCCGTCCGTCTGCCTGTCTGTGCGTCTCTGTCTATCTGTCTGTCTGTCTGTCCATCTCTCCGTCCGCCCGTCTGTCTGTCCGTCTGTCTGTCTCTCTCCACCTGCAGCCTCAGTGCCGAGGAGCTGGCGGCCTTCCAGAAGGAGCGAGCCGCGTTCCTGGCCGCCCAGAAGGAGGCGGATTTGGCAGCCCAGGCAGAGGCCGCCAAGAAGTGACCCGGCCTCGCACACCCCACAGTTCTGAAGCAAACGGCTGGGGCGGGGCCTGTGCCGAGGGGGAAGAAGGGAGACCGCGCCACCCTCCTTGTGACTCTCCTGACTGGATTATGTATTTCTACGCTCATGGCTGCGTCAGGCCTGAATAAATGTCTCTGTCACCATTCTCAGCCTCTGTCTTGGGACCCAGGGAGGCAGCCCTGGGGTGGGCAGGGGTCTTCACGCGGCTCCTGGGACACAAACCGAGGCTCAGCCGGCAGAGTGGTTTGGCCCACGCCTTAGCTCATTTCCTGTTCCTGTAGCAAAATCCCTGGGACTAAACACCACCGAGAGAAAAGGTTATTTGGCACACGATCCGGGTAAGTGGAGGGACAACAGCATGGCGCTGGCGTCCAGTGAGGCCCCCGAGTGTCACCTGTGGCAGAGAAGCAGCAAAGGGAGTCACGGGCAGGGGGAAGGGGCCGAGCGTGTGGGGCAGCCTTGCCTGATGGTGGCCGACTCCCTCCTGTGTGCCCGCCTGTCCCGTGAGCCAGCGCCGATGGCGGAGCCCTGTGACCGCATTGCCTGCCAGCTCAGCACCTCCACACGGGGACGCTGGGGGCATTCAAGCTACACCCAGACCACAGTGCCCAGGCTCCGAACAGGTGCAGAACCCAGACCCGATGACCTGAAAGCTTTGGCTCTTACCCTTCCCCTCGGTGAGGGCTGTGGGCGCTGGCGTGAGGCCTGCTGCACGTCTCCATCTCAGGGGGACTTGGCCACCTCAGCAGAAACAGGCCCGGGGCTGCTACTGGCCCCTCACGGCACTCGCGTCAGATGTTTGCTGGACGTGAACTGTGAGGGTCACGGCTGCAGACCAGCAGAAGCGTTGGTGGGGACCGGCCGGAGGCAGAAGCCCGGGGGAGCCCTGGGCCGCGTGCTCTCCCCGCTATGCAGACACCAGGTTCCTGTGCACTCAGAAGAGCAGGGCTGTTAGGAGTGAGCCGGGTGACCGGCGTCTGTTACCGGCGCAGCACGTCTGCATGTGCCGAGAGCAGCTGCACGGCATGGAGGAGACCTAGAAGAAAACTGAAAAGGGGCTGGCGTTGTGGCAGAGCAGATTAAGCCACCACCTGTGCCGCCGGCATCCCCATGTGGGCACCAGCTTGAGTCCTGGCTGCTCTGTTTCTGATCCGGCTCCCTGCTCACGCACCTGGGAAAGCAGTGGAGGATGGCCGAGTACTTGGGCCCCTGCACCCACATGGCAGACCTGGGTGGAGTTCTAAGCTCTTGGCTTTGGCCTAGCTCAGCCCTGGCCGTTGGCAGCCTGAATGGGAATGAGCCAGCAGGTGGAAGATCTCTCTCTCTCTCCCTCTCTTTCTGGAACTCTGTCTTGAAAATAAATAAGTCTTAAAAAAAGAAAGAAAAGGAGGTCACAGGCCCTACTGCCATTCATGGATAAGGAACTGCACAAAACACCAGGAGCTGGGGACCACTGGACAAGCTTGGGGTCTGCCCACCACGAGAGCGAACCAGCTGCACGTGGCGGAATTGTGACGCGCGAGGGATGCTCCGTTTCTGCGTGCCTCCCCCACCCCGGAGCACTGCACTTCCCTGCTTATTTATTTATTTGAAAGGCAGAATTATAGAGAGAAAGAGATCGTCCATCTACAAGTTCACTCCAAACCGCTGTAACTGCCGGAGCTTCTTCCGGGTCTTCCATGTGGGTGGCAGGGGCCCAAGCACTTGGGCCGTCTTCTGCTGCTTTCCCAGATGCGTTAGCAGGAGCTGGATCGGAAGTGGAGCAGCCAGGACTCGAACCGGTGCCATAGGGGGTGCCGGCATTGCAGGCGGCAGCTTTGCCCACTACGCCACAGCGCCCCCCCACCCCACCTCCACTTCTTAACCACGGCCTCCTCTGTCACTGGTTCCCCCCAGGTGCACTTGCGTGCAGTGGTCCCAGCTGTTTGGGTTCAGATCCCAGCTCCATGCTCCCTCGCTGTGTCCTCTTGGCCAAGGTCCCTAACCATGCCTTGGCCCCCTCCTCTGTCCAGTAGGGGGATGGTGCTCACCTCAGCAGGCTGTGAAGATCAAGTGAATTCAGGCGTGCGAGGCTGGCGTGCTGCAAGTCCTCAGTGCGTGGCGGCCATTCTTCCTGGGTCACGTTCTGAAGCCCAAGTGCACACTCGAGTATCAGTAAACACAAGGGGCTTCTTGGACGCCTCCCTCTAGCAGTGACCTGCGTCTGCTTTCCTCCGCTGTGAGCCCTGAAGGAGCTGGCCCACACTCGCCTTCGCCTCCCACGCTGCAGCTGCTGAGGCCTGCGTCTTACACACACACCTGCGCCAGTCTCTCCCGCCTAGATTTGGTGTGGAGCATCCTTGGTTGTTTGAAAGAGTTAGAGAGAGAGAGAGGTCTTCCTTCCGCCGGTTCACTCCCCAACTGGCCGCAACGACCTGAACTGTGCCGATCCAAAGCCAGGAGCCAGGAGCTGCTTCTGGGTCTCCCATGAGGGTGCGGGGCCCAAGGACCTGGGCCGTCTTCCACTGCTTTCCCAGGCCATAGCAGAGAGCTGGGTCGGAGAGGAGCAGCCGGGACTCGAACTGGCGTCCATATGGGATGGCGGCACTGCAGGCGGAGCTTGACCTGCTATGCCACAGCGCTGGCCCCTGGATGTCATTATATAACAGCATTCATTGGCATCGTAGCCTCTCCAAGTGGTCCAGAAAGATCCCCACCTCCCCGCCTACTCTGTGCCAGGGTTGGTCCATGTCACCAACAGGAAATGTCTGAAGTGCGAATGTGTGACTTCTGAGGTTAGGTTGTACCACATACTGCCAGGGCTGTTGCTGTGGCGTAGTGGCTAAGGCTGCTACCGGCAGTGCCAGCATCCCACATGGGCACTGGTTCAAGTCCCGGCAGCTTCACTTCCAGTCCAGCTCCCAGTTGATGCACCTGGGAAAGCAGTGGAAGATGGTCCAAGTCCTTGGGCCCCTGCACCCACGTGGGAGACCCGGAAGAAGCTCCTGGCTCCTGGCTTCAGGTCGGCTCAGCTTCGGCTGTTGTGGCCATTTGGATGATGAACCAACAGGTGAAAGGCCTCTCTCTACCTCTGCCTCCCTGTAACTCTGCCTTTCAAATAAAAATAAAAAAGATACGGCCACTTCCACCCCACAGCCCCCTCCCCATCACGCCTACTCCCTGGCAAACACTGGTGGGTTCTCATCTCTAACAACCTGGCCTCTGCTCTCACTTCCAGAGTGAGTGAAACTGCAGTGTGTGTCCTCACGAGTTTTCCTCGCTCAGCTTAAGGACTCTGAGATCCCTCCAAGTCGCTGATGTGTATCAACAGTTCATTCCCAACTCCCTTTTTAAAAAAAGGATTTATTTATTTGAAAGGAGTGGGGAGAGAGAGAGAGAGAGAGAGAGAGAATCTTCCCTCTGCTGTTTCATCCCCCAAATAGCCGCAATGGCTGAGCCAGGCCAAAACCAGAACTCCACCCGGGTCTCCCGCGCGGGTGCAGGGGCCCAGGCCCTCGGGCCGTCTTCCACTGCCTTCCCAGGTGCATTAACGGAGGAGAATCAGAAGTGGAGCAGCCAGGACCTGAACCAGCCCTCAGATGGGATGTGGCCGCTAAACTTGGGCTGTAGCGCCAGCCCCCTGGTCGTTCCTGTCACTACGTGCTGGTTTCCCTGGTGTGGACCTACTCATCTGTTCATTCACCCAGTGGTATTCCCACTTTGGGGATATTACAAATAAAGCTGTCGTGAGCATTCTTGAAAGTTGCGGTTTTCATTACCTACGAGGGATGAACACCCGGAGTGTAATTTCTGGGTCATATGTAAGTAAGTATTTAATGTTTTAAGAAGCTTTACAATCATTTTTCAGAGTAGCTGCATCATTTTAAATTCTCGCCAGCGACATACGAGTGATCCAGTTTCTCTGCATCCTTGCCAGCACTTGATATTCTATTTTTAAGTTGTTCTTATAAGTGATGTACCACTGTGGCCTCAATTTGTGTTTCTATTTATTTGAAAGTTACAATCAGAGAGAGAGAGAGAGAGAAGGAGAGAAATCTTCCATCTGCTGGCTCACTTCCCAAATGGCTGCAATGGCCAGAGCTATGCCGATCCAAAGCCAGGAGCCAGGACCTTCCTCCAGGTCTCCCACGTGGGTGCAGGGATCCAAGCACTTGGGCCATCTTCCACTGCCTGCCCAGGCCATAGCAGAGAGCTGGATGGGGAGAGGAGCACCTGGGACTCGAACTGGCGCCCATATGGGATGCCTGGACTGTAGGCTGGGTCTTTAACCTGCCACCCCACAGCGCCAGCCCCATTCTCTATTTTCTTTAACATTAATCATAGAACAGGACCCCGCCTCCCAGGGCCAGCCACGCCCTCTGGGCGGGACCCCGCCTCCCAGGGCCCGCTTACACGGCTTCGAGGGGCATCGTCCGGCACCTGCCGTGGGCCCGGGACCCAGCTTCGCACCGTGGCGGCCACTCGGCCCCTCCAACCCGAGTTGAACTCAGTGAACCCGCGGGCGGAAGACCTGTCTGTGTCCCGCTCTCTGTAACTCCACCTTTTAAATAAGTAATAAATCTCACAAAGCAGGAAAAAAAACATTAATCACAGTCAGTTTCAAATCCCAATTGGCTGCAACATCCCGGGCCGGGCCAGGCCAAAGCTGGGAGTAGGGGACTCCATCCAGGTCTCCACGTGGGTGGCAGGGGCCCAGTCACTCGGGCCATAATCCTTCCAGCTTAGACCAGAACGCCGGAGCCGGAACTCAAGCCAGCGCTCCGGGGTGAGGCAGGGGCGTCCCCAGCAGTGGCTTAGCCCGCTGCACCGTGATGCCCAGCTCTGCTGGTTCCTTTGCTCCGATTATCAGCGACCTTCACCTCTCCCCGCCAGGTTCCGGTACACTTTGCACGTTGGACGTTGTGTATAGGGAGCCGGAGTAGCCTCCCTCGTCCAGTGCGGGACGGGGCGAGCGAGTGACCATCTCGTTCCCAGCAAGCATTCGCCTGAGTCAGGCTGAGTTGTGACTACATGAAGATCGACCCACCTCTCCGCGTCCCCTTTCCCTCCGGGGGCTTGGCGAGTCTCTCTTCAGCCCTGGACGGCTCTGGGATCCGCTTCTGCCTCTCCGAGGCTTTGAGCTTAGCATTCGTCCCGGTGCACC